GTGACTTGTCGGAGACACTTGCCAGAGGGTTGCAAGAGCTAAGAGCAGCATTGGAAGCTTACCAGAAGCAGCTGCTGGAGGTAACAGGAGAAGTGGCTAATGAGGATGTTCAGTGTCTGTCCCTGCATTACAACGACAGTGTTATCCATGTGGTGCGCACAGGGTGAAACACCATCTTCCTCACTTCTTAATGGACAAGGTGGCCTGCAGAGGATATGTTCCTGGCACTTCCAAGCGATACACGACACCTAGAAACAAATTTTTTCTCATCTGCTCGACTCTGAGACAGATACACACTCACTTTCTACACCATGGGGTCTCTTCATGTTCCCCATACACATCCTGTTTTCACTCCTTTTCTACTTGTGGATGCTGTGCACAAGACCAGGAGGTTAGTAACTGAACCGTCCATACCAATTAATGGTAATTAATTGTTCCCACTTATTGTTCTCTGTTTGCATCACCCAGGAAAATGAGTGTAGGGCAGTGGGATCTCAGCATTTACACAAGACATGCAGCTTACTGACACGCAAATTCTAGTTCTTCAACTTTTTGAGTTGTTTTGCTGTGGCAGTTTTCTGGCAGTAACTCATTTCCTGTGACCTACTCTTTCGAGAAAAGTAGCAAAGCAAAACAGCAGTGTGGACCACAAGATAACTCATCCTGATCTCAAAGTCCTTTGCCTTTCTTTGGTCTGTGCTGACAGACTAAAATAACAAGGACAGGCAGAAACAAGTCCAAAGGACTGAAGAAGTCCCAGACCCATTAGGGTGTGGAGGGCCGGACACCTATGATGCAAAGCCAACCCATCACACAGAGGAAGGTATTTCCTTTAATGAAAATATGACTACAGAGATCATTGAAGAAACTGGTTTTGTTCAAGGACAATAAATGTGTTTAAAGCACAATTGCAAGAAAACAAAATCAAGTTCAAGGCTTAACACATTAGACTGTACAACACACACTTCATCTCTAGAAAGACAGACTTTCCCTTTCTAAAATTAAGAAAATCATGGTCTGCATCTCCAGTGGGGTAAAGGCACTATGACCAGGTCTCAATGGCAAAACCAAGTGGGGAAAGAAAGCAAGCACATTTGCCCTTTGCAACAAACTGCAACAGGTAAAATTGACTCCCGATCTCTTTTAATGAAGCTACAAAGGCAATCTGGTAAATAACCCACATGGACACGCAAAGGTTTAGAAGAATTCAACAGTTCTGCTTTTCTAAATGAAGCAATTACCCCCAAGTTTGTCCCACGATCCCACTGTAAAGTATTCCATATATCATTACCTCCTTCACTGATCAGTGAAGATCAGCTCTTAAGACTGCAGGCCCAGGGTCTTTCGCAGGCTCCCTCCTTGCTAGCATTTGAGGAACTGAGGACATCAGCGCCAGTTCTGCAGGCTGAACACCTCCCTGAACCACAAGCCTGGGGGAGGGTGAGACTGCTGCATGTGAAGCAGAAGGCACTGCTGCCATGCACCAGCGCTGATATTCATGACGTCCAGGGAATAATGAAAATGCAAATCTTGACTCAGGCTTGCACTGAAGATGCAACTGCTGTAGTAAGCAGAAATCATGGGGAAAAAGAAGATAGTGGGAGTTCTCTGGCTGGAAAATTTCATGTTTGGCAAAGCTTTCTATGAGTAGCCTACCCAGTGAAGCACAGTATTCTTCTTTTTGTAAGAAGTACCAGTTCCAAGCTCTGTCTAGCTCTCTTACTACCAGCCTCAGGGTGCTATTCGGTGAATTGAGCACGGGGTGCTGGCTCCAAGGGTTGATGCTGGTGTACTTGGAGAAGTGCAGTTTCACCAGGAGAGATGTGGGCTGAGGCTGCACAGCAGAAGCTGTGTCCGCTGCAGAACACCATGTGGGCAGCAAAACAGAACCACCCGCTCTCTCTGAATACCCTGACGGGGCCTCTGAGCAGATGGACACCCCAAGGACCATGGGTCGGCTGTGGAAATGCACAGGGAAGAAACACAGCGGTCATTGGGGTACTGGATGGCAGGCATGTGGCACTCTAAATCTTGCACATGCTGGTGACAAGATTTTAGCAAAGCTGCTTGTAAGGCTTCAGAAGTTCACAGTATGAGGCTTGTTTATACCTACAGTCTATACACACCACAGCTGGCAAGGCTGTGAATTTACTGGGCTGCTGCAGCTACCTGACCAGTCTGTAACCCCCCTGGTAGCCATGGTCCCTAAGCCCATGCAAGCTGAGACAACAGGGATGCAGGTGAGGGAGCGTGCCTGCCTCCCATTTTCCCTGAGCAGAGGAATCGTACGACGAACGTCTCAATGCACCAAAGCACATTGCTCCTCACATAGCTACTCTTCGTGAGACAGTTCAGATGAATTCAACCATGTGTCTGTGACCACTGGGTCACATCTTAGCATGGAAATTTCAGATCAACAAGACAAGGAAATTCTATATCCATAATATAGGAAAGGCTTTCTTGACTAAAAGGAAAGTGTGTAATCTTGTTCAAAAGTAATTTTTCTTCCTCCATGCTGCATTTCAGACTGCATGGAGACAGCTTGTTTAAACAAGGGAGTCTACTTTTTCTGAAAGTATTAAAAAACAGTAATTCCTGGCTGCTTCCCATGTGAAAATCACTTAAGCAGGAGGGTTTTTTCTTTTGCAATGGCAATAGAGGATATGTGTAGTGGCTGTCTCACAAAATATTAACATTCTGTCAACTCTATCAAACCTTCTGATCTTTAACTTCCCACAAAGTCCACAGCGTGTCCACTTACCTTAAGCAAAAATGGACTGCAGTCAGAAGGATGGGAATTTTAATGAAGCCCAATATTCCCTACTGTATTAGCCAGTCCCTAGAGACATTTAAAATAAATTTTAAAAAAGAAACAGCAAATGCAGCTAGTGTACTCAGGAGGAACTCTGGAATCTAAATCAACATGCCTGTCTTTGAGAGCACATCGTACCACGAGTAGCCTGCTTCCCCATTCAGTACCAGAATCTCTGCTGACCAAAAAACTCACTCACCACCTGTCCCAGTCCTACAGGATCACCTAGCCATTTCCCTCCTGCCTTTTCTGCCTCCAGTTAGGTGCACAAATTGTCTTTCCAGTACACAATCCCACTGGAAAAGACAGTGCTGCTCCAGTTAAATTCAGCACTAAGTCACTCCTGTAAAACTAGGGCACAAATTTGCGATTGTGCCATTTACTCAGGGGTTTGGCAGGCCAAAACACACAGCTCCATGAAACTGAGGAGACTGTCATCTGAGAAAGACAGAGGCAGGAGTGCAAAGTTTGATGGAGAGACCCCAGCCACAGCACTGGAATGCTGGCTAGCAGTCACTTGGCTTAGGCAGGTTAAGATGGAGCAGCTCTGCCTCGGCCCTTGTGGGACACACTCCCAGGATCAGCACTGTGCACTTTACACTGGCATATACCTTCAGCTTTTGCACCCAGGGAGAGGGGAGGAGTCTCCTGCCACGCCCTCCTGGCATGCTCTGTGGCCCCTCCATCCACTCTGAAACCCTCAACCAAATTTAGCAGTGGCAGAAGTCTCAAAGGCATTCAGCACCTACAGGCTTTTCCATGACCTTCAGAGGCGTAGCAGAGGACAGATGACCTTACTAGCAAATTCTTCTGAATGGCCCAAATATAAGGAGTGCTTCAATCAAAATGTTTTAATGATAAAACAAGTCCAGAAGTAAAACACTGAATATATTAGTTGCAGTTTTGAAAGCGTATGAAAGACTAAGGCTATTGCTCCCTGCTGTTCTGAGGTTACTGGTCTAGAATGCTACTGTTGCTTCCCAGAAGGCATCTAAGAGGCACTTCCTTCTTTGTGGACTGTGCAATTTGCGGGTACCCACCTGTCACTTAACTCTTTGGAAGATCAGCACGACAGCATGCAGAAGGGGCAGAAGTGGCAGGGCCTAACTTGAAACAATAAGGACTAAGTCGTAACTTCTGACAAGAGAACCAACCTACCTTCAAACTGGAGCCTGTCTTTGTTGAAGCAAACAAGATTACCGGCCATTTGTGAGTGGGCCAAATAACCATTCCTTGGTCAGGAATCACACAGCCCAGCAAGACACAATGAACCCTCCAGCACATCCCTCTCAGCTTCAAACTTCTCTTGAGCACTTCAGGATTTTGTTTCCCAATGCTTCTCTGACAGACAGCAAGCAAACATCGTCCCCTTTCATAGTGACTTCTAGTAACAAAGGCACCTACACAAATCACCAACTGGCAACAAGGATCTAGCAGTTGTAGACCACCGCTCCTAATATGCAGAAGTGAACTACAACAGACAACACTGATCCAGTTGTCATCACCAATGAGGAAGAGGACAGTTACTTTAAAAGCCCAATTGGTGATCTCAGTTTCTCAAGGCAGAATTAAAAAAAAATGTGGGACCAGACCCCCTCCTACGCAACTGACAATGCATTGAGGACTTGTAGGAACAGTCCAGCAGTAGGCTTTGTGGCTCAGTTTTGCAGCTGGAAGTGCTAGTGCTGGGTTGCCTAGGTGGGACATGATGGGACAGAGGCTCACCATGTCTGGCAAGTCCCAGGATATATAGTGGTAGGAACAAATCCTTATGAGAAAAGCCAAAGGAGGTATTAGAACAACTGGGTAAACACAAGAAAGAATTATCAGACTAGCCATGTCCTTCTCATTTCCCTAATAACACACGTGAAACATCTACTAGAACACCCAACATTGCTGAAAAGGCACAACAATTGCAGTGAAATACAGCTACTTGAACTCAGATATCCAAGCTGAAGGAAAAATTGAAGTGTATTCCAGGGCTTCTTTTAAAACAGCAAAAGTATTGTATAAAAACATTTCCCTGTACAGTAACATTAAAATGAGAAATATTAACATCTGCATCTTGCTTCAGCTAGTATTAAATTTCATCATAGCTAATGGAAACCACCAATGGCTGCTCTACAACAGCCCTAAAAGCAATGAAAGGGATCTCACTGACTGTGCAAAACTGCAGACTGCTCCTAGCTCTGTGCATCTCAAAATACATTGTGGAGCAGAAAATCTTGTTCCCCTAGAAGGGAAAAGAGTTTTTATAAAAAACACCAAGAGAGAACTGTGTCATTTGCCTGGTTATTTGAGACCTTCCACATTTCCAGAGGGGAGAGATTCCAGAGCTGCCTGTTACGCGGAACTCTTCTCCTTGTATTTCTGGTAGGCATCCAATATCTCCTTGACAACACCTGGATCATCAAGTGTTGTGACATCTCCCATGTTGCTTGATTGTTCTGTGACTACTTTCCTCAGCAGCCTTCTCATGATCTTCCCCGATCGGGTTTTAGGAAGACGTTTCACCACCTGCACAGAAGGGAAAGACACATGTGTATTAGAACCTACGTCCTGCTGGAAACCACAAGGAAATTTGGCTGAACTGTCCTAAGCCTGGCACACTATCTCATGGCCACAGCTCCTTTGAGGGTCCTGGGAAATCCTAGACCATTGAGCACACTAGTTTATGTCCAAGGAAAGGAGTGTCACTAGCATCAATTCCCAGTGCTATACATTTTATTCTTTAAGTGGACTTTGTTCCCCATTTACTCATTGCTGTGTATCTCCAGGCTGGGTGCTGCAGGACACACGGCGCTCTGGAGAATCAGGTCCTGAATAAGCTGTTAACTATTGAACTAGAAAGCTAGTTACACTTGAAAACTCAGGCACTGATGATGACACAGATCTCAACGCATTACCAGAACAGACAGACATATTCCCCTTCGCAGGACAGGAATATAAAGCACACTACTGCACGCCAACTACAGGGTCTCCTACTCAAGCCATAACTCTTGTCTGATGTCTCTCTCTGCCTGATTGTATCTATCAGCCTACACGCCTTCTTTCATAGCCACAAGAATGTTAAACGCCTTGGCTATGCTTCCTGCAAAGAACTTAGCAGCAGATTCAAAGGCTTTAGCATAAACTTGAGCCTGGTAAAGAGTCCTCAAGCACCGAACAGAGACACTAGCAGGTCTCACATTTTGCTACATCATCAGGCTAGTAGGCTACAAAACTCCAAGGCATTAACTAACATGCAAGGAAAGAGTTGTAGGACTTCTCTGCAGGACTATCCCCAAACACAGGGAAACAGAGGTGTTTCCTTGCAAACCTGGAAGTTCTGGAAACTGCTCCAATCTGCTGAGGAAGTCCTGGGCTGTTCCAAGTTGAATGAGCCACCCTTGCCTGCTCCTGTTGTATTCTGTAGTCTGTCTCTCGGTGTCCACCTTCCAAGCACGTGGCTAAAGCAGAGCCCCTCAGAGAAGTGGTCTGGTCACTGCCTCCAAGCACGGAGTGGAATGGATGCAGGCAGGCCTTGAGGGGCAGCTAAGGGGCAGCTTTGTGCACTCTCCCCAAACACACAAAGGGAGCTGCTGAAAGGTGAGGAGGCTTGAAACAGAGCCTGGAGTTCATCAGTGCTCCCAGGGTCAGGCTGCACAGCTGTCAGAGCTATGCAACAGAAACAGCCAGTGCTTTGAGATCTGGGGTTGATGCTAATTATCAACACAAAATAGCTGGGCAGTGGAAACTGTCATTCTGCCTCTCGTTGACGCTGAAGGTTGTGGTGTTTATCTACAGTTTGGTGGGGTTTTATGTGATCCATTGCACAGGGCCACAGAGAGCAGTACTACATTGCTTCAGCAAGGGTTTAGCTGAGGGCAAGAGCTATATTGAACAGTAATCCTGTTGCACGGTGAACAGGGACACCAAGTGCATCTTAAGGCACACAGTGGGCCTGGGATTCTCCTGTGCCAGAGCTCCTGCCAAGCACAATGCGAGAGTGCACGCCATTTAAAGGGTTCTTCAACACTTGGCCCAAATGGAGCAGCCTTCAGGGTAGCTCTAAAACACGCTCTGTTAACTGCCTCGCCAAGAAGCTGCTCCACAGGCTGGAGCAGCTGGAAAATCCCAGCGAGCCTCCGGGTCACTGCTGATCCTCAGGCATGGAGAAGCAGCACATGCAGACCACTGCACCTGTCCTCCCCTACCTAGGGATCCCTCTAGCTAGTTCTGTTTTCCTGCTTCTTTGCCCTGCCAGAGAGGGACAACAGCAGCACTGCAGGCAGGAAGGTGAGGCTCGCTCAATATGACCATTCCTGCTCCTGGTACCAGTTACAGTCTCCCACTTACCAGAATGTGGTCAGGAACAGCATATTTTGCTATCTTGGAAGCCACTATGGTTTTGAGCTCTTCTTTGACACGGTCTGTATGAGCTGTCTGCTCCCTTAACACTATGAAAGCAAAGGCACCTGGAAGACAAATAAGCAGAAGCCACACACCTCATATTAGATCCTGGCTGGCAAGACCAGGGATGCTCATTCAAATGCCGAGGAAGGTTTCACATGATTCCTATGCACAATCTGGGGACTGCCAAGAAAACCATAGATCCTATTTACAGAAGAGAGTCAGACTCCAGCCCTCAAACAATGGCCCAGCCTTGTCTTGGCATCTATGGGCCAGACTGATCTCAGTGACAATGACAACTCAACATAAATTACCGAAGTGTCATTGGGATCAAAAGCTGGCCAACACAAATCAGCTATTCCCATTCTGTTCAAAGGACACCTCTGAGCACAATCCTTTTAAAGGAAGCTCCACCGCATACCTAAATACTATGTGTGAAAACAGTTTAGGGAGTAATACCTGCACCCAGCTTAGGAACATGTGGTTATTTTCACGGCAGTCTTTGCCTCTTGGGGCTGCAATGCCAGTCAACCTAAGAATAACTGCCATCCCATTCCCTAGGCACCTCCTAACACGGAGCCCAGGTTAGAAATTAAGGAAAGTGTATGTAGGTGTCATGTCAGGACACTGCTTTTCACATACCTTCTCCTTTGATCTTGTGTGGATACCCAATCACAGCTGTCTCAGGGACCTCAGGGTGATCAGCCTTCACAAAAAGAGAAACAAAAATACATGGAGCATAAGAACTGCTTCAAGCCCTGCAGAGTTTGCATCAGTTGCTCTAGGAACAAAACACCTTGCCATATCTCACCCTTCCCTTGGCAGATCCTGCTGCAAGCCCAACTGCCTTCCTACTGCATGGTCAGCTGGAGGCCACAGCCATGGCCACATCTCTGAGACTAGCATTTACTCACTGGATTGACCCTGCTTTTAAACACACAAATCAGTACTCTTACATGCACTGCTAAGCCTGCTGCACACCAAGCTGTATTTGCACCAGCTCAGAACCTACTTTCTCTTTCTTTGTCTATGCTCTTGTGTGTGCATGGCTACAGTCCAAAGTGGTGACCAGCCATGGCCAAATCACAAGTAAAACCAGTTCTGCATTGCTCTGTGGCACAAGGAACTGTTGCCAGCAGAGCGAAAGTGAAGCTGCAAACATCACAGTCCACATTTGACTGGTGTTTATAAGTGCCTAAAGCACACCAGAAGGCAGAAAGAATCAGGCTTCTTCATCTTTGCAGAAGAGGGGAAGGGTTGTTTTGCCAATTGCATATTTTTATTATTATGCTACACAGCAGTGATTTATTCTGTCTCACTTAGAATCACAAAATCATAGAATGCTTTGGGTTGGAAGGGACCTCTAGAGGTCATATAGAGGTCATCTAGAGTGAGCAGGGACATCTTCAACTAGACCAGGTTGCTCAGAGCCCCATGCAACCTGACCTTGATAAGGTTCATGCAAGCCCATCTCTCCAGCTTGTCCAGGTCCCTCTGGATGGCATCCCGTCCTTCTGGCATGTCAACTGCACCACTCAGCTTGGTGTCATCTGCAAACTTGCTGAGGGTGCACTCGATCTCACTATGTCATTGATGAAAATATTAAACAGCACTGGTCCCAGTATGGACCCGAGAGACACCACTTGTCACCGACGTCCATCTGGACATCGAGCTGTTGACCACTACCCTCTGGCTGCGACCATCCAACCAATTCCTTGTCCACTGAATAGTCCACCCATCAAACCCGTATCTCCCCACTTCAGAGTTTAATTCAATGTCCTTCTGCAGTGAGAAGACAATTTGTGTACAGCCTTGAAGAAATCGCATATCTGAATCCCAAACAAAAACTGGATTACGCTGTCTTAAATTAGATTAAAATATGAAAAAAAAATCACAATCTAAGCATATAAATGTATTTGCATATACACACACATACACAGACTAGGAGAGGAACTGGATCCTGTATCTACCATCAGAAACCCTAACAGCCAAAATTTTACTCACAGAGGAGATAGTAGGATCCTGTATGCCATGCAGACATAGCTCAGGTTTATCAAATGTTACATTTAAGTGCCATTTGCAGGCAAGGCACATAATATAGAAATAAATATTCAGGTCTAGCTTTGAAGATAAATTCTCTAAGGACTTCTTGTTTTCAATCCCCTGAGCTAATATTATTTTCTCTCAAAATGACAGGCTAGCTTTGCAGCTGACATGAATCAAGGTTACTTCATATTTAACACTGCTGAATTCTCAGGCATACTCAGCTAGTTCAGATGAGCAAGAACCACAGATCTGGGAAGGAGCAGTTAGTTGTTAGCAGAGGGGAAGGAACAAACAGGAGATACAATCACTTATAGGCACTCCAACAGTATCCAAAATTACAACTGCAACAATACAACATCACTGAGAGGAAACACAGCTCTGACAGTTCAACTGCAGGGACTGCCCACGATCATAGAATCATAGAATCATAGGTTGGAAAAGACCTCTAAGATCATCAAGTCCAACCATCCACCCAACACCACCATGCCTACTAAACCACATCCCGACATGACTGCTCTCTCACTTGCCCATTTGTTATCTCCTTAATAAGGGAGCTGTTTCCTTTCACACATTTGCTATTCATTATGCATCAAGCTGCTCTGTGTATGCAGGGGCAGGGGTTTGAAGACACCAGACCCTGCATTTATTTTAATTCATAAAGCTTCTTTCAAGGGGCCATCCTGCCCCACAGATACGCCCTGTCAAGGGACCTCTACCTGCTCAGAACTTACCATTGCATCTTCTATCTCTGCCGTCCCGAGCCTGTGTCCACTGATGTTAATGACATCATCCATGCGGCCCGTTATCTGGTAATAGCCTTTCTTGGTCCTGTAAGCACCATCCCCTGTGAAGTAGTAACCTACAGCAAAGACACGTGAGTGGTCAGCAGCAGGACGTGTGCCTGCCTATTGCCTTGGGCTCTGATGCAGAACAGACTATGCTCTAGGATGGCGAGGAGGGCAGGGTGGATCCGGCAGCTCACAGGGACTCTTAAACTGACAGCTGTGTGACCTGCCACACACCACTTCCCTCTGCCATCCCCAACCTTCGTCTGCTCTGTCTGGGCTCTGCCAGCTCCTAGTAAGCACCTGAGCAGCACCAAGACAGAGGAGGTCAGATCTCTGCCCAGATGGGCAAAATCACTGTAGGCAATCAGCAGCAAACAGCGGCTGATATTCCCCGTACTAAAACCAAGTCCAGCAACACAACACAGTGATGCTTTGTTGGATTTACAAAACCAAGGGGGGCTCTCTGATCTCCCTAGGCTTTACATGCCTACAGCTGCACAGCAACTGTGTGCTCAGGCCCGGTGCATACAGCTCTAAGATAAAACCTCTTCAAATGGCATCTGCCATCATGCCGTGGGCTATTGGTCAAACTCAGGTCTGCTGCTAGCTACACCTCAGCGCTCGTGGAAAACGAAAACTGTCCAGCTGAAAGGAAGCAGTTTTATTACATTTTGTACATGGGAACACTGCCAATTTTTTGAATCACTTACACTGGGACTGATGAAAAGGCATTTTCCCTCCTGGCTAACAAGGATTCAGATCCCAGATAACTGTCCCTCTCCAGCATATGAGCATGGCAGAAACACTGTTATCAGATTAGCTGAAAAAACCCCACCTCATGATAAGCATGGTGTTTGGAGAGTCTCAAACTTTTGATGGAAACTGAAAAAGACCCACTGGTTCCAGGAAACTCCAGTGACACTGAGGACATATCTGGTGACACAGATTGTGTTGGCTTTTCATCAAAGCCATGTCCGCATCTGTTCCCATGGCACTTCTAAGCAGCAGCAGGCAGCTAGTGCTGCGAAATCTGAACGTGGTTCTTGCCAGGACCCATTACTGGCCAATTCATGGACTTTCAGCCATGCCTCCTGCCCTTCCAAATCAATTAAACAACTATCAACTAAATACCAACACGTTTTCAGATGCGAACATGTAGTGACTAGTAAGGGAATACAGGCTCATGCAACTTCTTCCACCAGTTTCCTATTCTTATTTTCCAGCCCTTTTTGTACAACTTACAGGACTGTCTCTCTAATTCTTGTCTACCTTGTAGCTTTCAAACCCGTTTCAGCTTCTCCTCCGAGTGTCCAATCTCCTACAAAAAATGTTTTTCTGCCTCTTCTAATTACTCGCCAGATACAACTTGACTACATTTCAAAAAAGGAAGGACGTAACACAGCCTGTGACAGCAGCAGTGAGATTCAGTAATGTAGACAGTACTTTCCCATCCAGTATGCCTATTTCCAAGCAAGACACAAATGGCCCCAAAGAAAAGGTATTTGGACTTCAAAATTTTGGCATTAAAAATTTCTAAAAAATACATTCCCTTTTGGCAGCTTGAAAGGTCAACACTATCTAAGGCCATTAGTGCACGCTTGCAACACATGACACACAAGCCCAAAGAGCCAAGATCTGGCCAGTACAGAAATATCACAAAGCGCTGCTGTAAACTTTCCATATGCTTACACTGCAGTGCAAACTTCCTTTCCTTGATGCTTTCCTTACCTGGGTAGGCTTTGAAATAGTCATCAACAAATCGCTGGTGATCTCCATAGATTGTTCTTGCCATGCCAGGCCATGGCTGGGCAATGCAGAGTGCACCGGACACATCATTGCCTTCTATAACCTTTCCCTGCAGGTTCAAGCACAGGAAGGATGATCAGGTGAACACAATAGGAACAGAAAGTGCTTCTCTGTCATTGATCTGCCAAGAGTCACCCTGTTGCTCACTGCAGACTGCCAGGGGAGGGCCACAGGTGGAGAAAACGAATCCGCTCATGGAGCTGCTACGCACTGTCTGCATCATGCATTCCTCACCCCTTAAGGCCAGTGGCACAGCAGATAAGACAGCTGTAAGACTAAAAGTGAGTCCTGTGATTCTCTGGAGGGCAAGACTTGCAAAGATGACAGCAAAGATGTGCCAAGCAGCCAGAGGAGGCCTGGGATGAGGTTAACAGGGAATTGCCTGGACCCCTGCCTTCCACTTTCACTTTTATTAACTGCCACATTCAATTACCAAACTGTATATGGAGGAGATTACATGCTTTACTGTTTAACAGGGCACTGGAGCGCAGATGGGGATCGCTTGGCACAGCTTCACAGACCAGCACCAGTTTTCTCACAGGCACACACAGTTGCAGGGCCTCATGCCTTGCATTCTCCTTGGAAAACTCCACCAGTCCCTCTGGCTGCTCCAGTCTTGCCACATCACTGGATGTCGCATGCACTGCTCCAACTGTTCAGCTCCCTGGTTCCCAGGAGCTCTGTGACTTCTGATTGCTCTCATAAATGGAGGCAGCAGCTCTTAATCAGAAGCAGTGTAAGACCAAAAGGTGGTGTTGAAAATGCAAACACTTCCCTAGAGGTTTGCAGACAGCTTGCAATGCCCAGTTGTCAATCTGTATGGACATTTGAGAAATGCTCAATACATAAAGTGCTCATCTATCATATCATTTCAATGGAGGAACAAACATCCCTCCGGATCCTCTTACTCTGCCATCAGAAAGGCAACTAAGACAGAAACACACAGCAGCTTCTCTTTTGGGCACCCAGCACAGCCTCGACTCACATCCTCATCCATCAGCACAGGCACAATCCCAAAGAAGGGTCTCATCGCCATAGCCGGAACAATCTCAGCTTTCTCCTCTGAAGGCCGTGGGGCAATGCAGATACCACCAGTTTCTGGAAGAATAATGAAAAACAAAATATCTGGGGTCCATTTAATGCTACGTGAATGTGAATGCCAGCTCTTCTTAGTTAAAAAAGAGAATAGCAAAGCCACGTTGCAACTAAAAGCCACTGGGAAGAAACTATACAACATCAAGTAGCACAGCTACCTGAAAGCAGCACAGACCTGATAAACCAAGAACTCTTTCTGAATATAAGAAAGGCTTAAACACAGAAAAACATCTGGCCAGCCAGGATGACAACACTAAGGTCTGCAGTGTCTACAGGTCACACTGCAGTAGGTAGACAGCGGAGAGCTGCATGCAGGTCCCCCCTAGGTGAGCTTGGATTAAGAGCTACTTCTACTCTCTGTTGGCCCCATTCAGTGCTTGCTGCAAAAATCACTTGCCACTGTTTACAACAGTGACAAACCACAGAGTAGGGCCAAGCAGCTGCCTCAGGGGAAGAGCAGCTCACCAGGCCCCCAAGCATTGGGATCACTGATGTCTGGCTTAGCTCTTCAAACACTCAGAGGAGAGCAGTACACTGGCTACAGTGGCTGGCTTTGCAGCAGAAGGCCTGTGGACCTTGCAGCGGCAGCCACAACGTGTGCATTGAAGAGCTTTTCCACAGTCCTGTCTGGAGCAAACCAATCGGGCACAGTGAAGACCCCATCGATTCAACCCACATGCTCTGTTCCCTACATCTGGCCCTAAGTTGGCTCACAGATAAATCCATTCCCCCAGCTACCAACCAGCAGCGAATGCAGGCAGCTCCAACACATACTTACACCCTTGCGGGTCCTTCTCACACTAACAGGGCTGCCTGGTGGCAGGGGCAGTACTCGCCAGCCCCATATCCTACCCCAGAAGTGATTTTACAGGAAGTATAAGCACATCAGGGGATTTATCTCCCTGTGCTGTTTTTACAGCTGTCTGAGGTTAGCATAAAAAGCACGTCAGGAGTCTGAATTACTGTTATTACAGAGTATGAGATTAACCCACCCCTTGCAGGCAAGTTGAGCTTATCTTCTGTTTGAAATTGAACCTTTTAATCATCCTTTTTAATTCCTCCTGGGATGAACATTAAATCAGATTCCAACTTTAGTCAGATCTTTTCTATTCTAAAACTAATTCAGAAACACAAGACAGAAACAAAAACAGCTCTATAAATAAAGGTATGTTCTGCCACTTTGAGAGTGCATTCCTCTGCTGGCTTTGCTGAGTTTATGAAAATTGAAACCAGGGGTTGGAAAGGCTGAATTTGACACTGAATTTGCATGCAGCTGCCCTGACGTAGCTATGAGGAAGGATCTCTGAAGAACCCTAAGCTTCAGACCTGCAGAACACAGTTTCACATGTGGCTTACCCATAAAATTATTTCACATTTCATTGATGGGCATGCATCCACTCCACATGTTTCTGTTTATTTTCAAAGGGTCACCTTGAATTTTTTCAGAAAAAGAAAAAAGCACCCCAGACACCTGCTGTTCTTTGCACAGACAAAATCTGCATCAGAGCAGGGAACCTGGTTAAACTGGTGGTTGCTCTTCCTAAGCCAGTACTCATTCTGAACACAGCACTGCAAGCCATGTTTCAACATGCATTTTGCCACATCCTACACATCCTGCAGCCAGCTGCACATAAGGCAGTGAAGTCACATTCCAGAAGCAACTGCATGGTGGCAGGGGTGCTTTAAAAATTATTTGCATGGGAAAGACCTATTTTAAACTGGTTTAAAAGTACCAATTTTAGCCACTGACAAATGATGGCTAGCAAGGCTTCTAGGATCTATTAAGCCCTTACAAAGTCTGTCTCAGAGGCAGAGCTGGCAGAAGAAAAGACATCTTTCTACATCACCTGTGCCCATGCTGTCATCGTAGTGCAAATCCACCCAGACTTTAAGCAAGGACAGCCGAGTCTGAGCAGGGAGGGGGATGCATTGCAACAGGCTCCCCTCTGCAGTGGGTAAATCACCTCTGGCACGCAGGGTGGAGCATGTACTCTCTGCCACCGTTGTCTTCGCCACTACAGATAGACTGGACTGACCACTTCAGGGGGAATCCATCTCAGAAACACCAGCCCAGTCTAAATCGCTGTAAGATGATGCCAACAACAAAAGCTTTCAGGGCCTATTCAGATATGTCTTTAAAAAACAGCTTTTGTTCACAGCTGCATGCAACAGCTGTACTTTTTTTACAAAACCAGTGACAAAAGTAAAAATACCTAGTGTCTCTTCTGCACTGGGAAGAACTACACACCGGAAACTCAAACACAGCTTTGATTCTATTACTGTCAATCACAGCACAGCACTACCTAATATTTTAACAGCAAGAGCCATAGGAATTTTCTGTCTTTCTCATCTGCACATACCACACTACTTAAATTGCTTCTCATAATTGTTGCCTCACTCATTTGCTCATCCAGAGACTTTCAAGTGGATTCTTAAATCACCATTTGCTGATCTTTACGCCTACCATCCTCTATTAGCTGGCAACAGGTTGCTGCTTCTCAGAGCAACATACCGTAGAGGACAATGCATACGACAGTACAATTAACAAGCTATACTGAAATTGTCCACAAGAGGTGAGACTGCAGGACCAGAACCAGCATCCGTCAGACTGTTTCTATGATCTCTTTCCACACTCCCTTTATATTCAAATGGCGTATATAATGCTTCCAAGATTAATTTGGCTTCCTCTTCACTGGAAGCATCCACTGTAGAGAAACATTGATTCTACTTTCTAAGAAAATCGATGTAATGAATATTCATCATTATATTGTGCTTCCAGCAGCTGGTAACTGTTTACTTGCAAAACCATGCCTGATTCAAGGTAAGATCCAGCACTTGGCACTTGCAGACTGTCCAGCAAACATTCTTTAACCTCTCACCTGACAGCTGGTGCTCCAAAAACCCAGGAGAAATACCATTTAATACAAGATCTAAACCTGTACTTTAGAGGAAATAGGAGACTTGGCACTGAGAATGGGCACTGCATACACCAGTTAACCGAAGATAAACAAACAAAAAAACGTTAGGGCAAAAAAAGATTCTTCGCAACTCCGTCTTTGTACAGTAATCAACTGCTTCTCCATGGTGTTTTATTTCAGAGCAGTGAGGATGAAAGCACACAGCACCTAGCCAGTCAGCTTTCCTTCTGCTCAGCATGTGAGAACCCAGACGGTTTAAGAGATCAGTAATTGAAGTGGACAGTTGTTAACACTACTACTCTGAATTCTGAGGTTGTTTTATTTCAAATCTGAAAATAAAAAGAGTCTGCAAGTCTGGTCTGGATTAAACAGAACGTGGTTGTGTGCCAGAAGTTAATTCATTACATTGAGATGGGCCACAGGGATTCCTGAAGAGACAGCCTGCTAGCAGGAACAAGGATGAAATCAGGAGCAGCTTGACTGGAAAGGGAATCAATATTCTGCCCAATGGCAGCTAGAAATTTAATAGTAGGGACGGGGTTTTTTTTCAGCAGAGGCAGAATGCCAGCAGCTGTGCTGCATCCTTGAAGTCCCTGGCTCCATGGAAAACTGTGTGGTTCATGAGTTCAGAGGGACATATTTGCAAGACACCTGTAACAACTCTTGAATGTTGGTGCCCAGAAAAAAGGGCCGGGTGCTGAGGTGGCTGGGAAGGAGCTGCAGGACTCCTTCAAGCACAGGGCCCCACCAGGCAGCACAGCCCCAGCCAGAATGCAGCACAGTGGCCGCTCTCTGCTGCTGCCCAGGGAGGGCAGGAGGCAGGGACCAGCACTGCCCCAACCGGACAGGGATCTGTGAGAGCCAGTCACTATGTCCAGCAGGTTGTAAACAGACAACATGCCTTCACTGATGCACGCAGCTGGGCCAGGCACGCTGCCAAAACAGAACTGCAGTTCTTTTTGAGGTATCAAAGGTCCAGGGCCAAAGCAACTACAGCATACTACTCCACTGCAGGGAGAAGCTGCTCCCAGGTGGGTGACAACTGCCATCCCCTACCCACCTGATGCACAGGCAGCAAGCCTCCACTCACTCCTTTCCAATCCACCACAGCAGTTGCACTAGGTCCCTCTGACTACACAGCTTAGTTTTCCATCCTCCTCTGACCGTTCCCAGGAAGGGAAACAAAGCACGCCCAAGTACAGATTGTGGCTATATGGTGCTGTAAATGCCCTTTCATGATAAGACCGTATCAAGGTCAGTACAGCTGGATAAATAATTGAAAAGCAGGTTTCCAATTCAAGCTGCCTGCTCCCAGCTTTGCCCAGAAATTAAGTCTCTGCCTCTTGTTTCTAGAACCAAATGAGATTTTCCAGCATTCAAAATATCAAAGAACATTTAGAGTGGAAAATGAAAAAAAACAAACACCACTGCCATTGCTTTTCCATGCCATTATATTGCTATTATGTGCTGAAACTCCCCAGCGACTTCCAAAAGCTGATCAAAATGCCAGGAGGGTTTTTTTGACAGACTCATCGAATTGAATTGAAATGTATTAATCCTCCTCTACCCAACAGCAACCTGTCAATGGTCAGGACCCTCCACTCTCCCCGAGGATGCCTTTACCTGTCTGCCACCACGTGTCCACGAGAGTGCAGCGCCCTTCTCCCACCACATGGTAGAACCACTGCCAAGCTTCGTGGTTGATGGGCTCTCCCACTAGACCAAAATAAGGAAGGAAGGAAGGAATAAGGAAAGGAAGCAGCCTGAGACTCTGGAGGTTGCAGACAGTTCATTCTCCTTTTTGGTGCACAACACACTGAATGCATATTTAAAAGCAAAATGCTTACAGCATATTCACTGGGATGTGCAAAGGACTGCAATGCACTCATGTAACTGAGGACTGAGTTTTCCCAGAAAGACAAAAAGGCAAGCAATAAATATCACTGGAAGTAACTAACCAATGCAGGTCGTGTATAAGAACCTCTAGAATCCTAAATAATGCAGGAAAATGCTCATTGGGTCACCTAAGTCAGTAAAATTCAAAGTGATGTCATTGAATAAATCTTTCTAGCAAAGAACGCCATCCTGCAAAATAAGCTAGGAAACAGGCAGTCACACTAAGGTTCAATGGCCCCAACTTCAGTTTGTTTCTCCTTCTGCGAAGAAAATATCTGAAAAGCCAGACAGGGAGCCTGCTTTATTATCTGTTTTTAACCACATCCCATCTGGTCAGCCGAACTCCTCTGGTACCTTCATTTCACCAGCTAAAACCCTTTGTCTTTTTCAGAGGAAGACTTCATGCCCCTTACCTGATCCCAAGGTTTTCAAGGAAGATCGGTCATATTTCTTCACCCACTCTTCTCCATAATTCAGCAGCAAGCGTATAGCTGTAGGTGCTCCATAAAACTGATTAATTTTCAACCTTTGTACCACTTCCCAGTAACGACCTGCAAGATCACAAACAAGCTTTTTTTCTTTCTAGCACACTGACATACTGCCACAAATGCTCAGCA